ATGCTGTACAGGGTCACTAGGTCAAGACATTTCAAACGCACAGATCATCAAGGAGCTGATCTTGTCAGTCACGAAGCCCTTTTCCAGTTATCCATCTCTGAACAGTACAGAATATAACAAGTTGCATTTGGTAACAACCAGTGAATGCTCTTATACTGCTTGATTTCTCAACTGCACTTCACAGTGTGTTATATAATGCTGTAAACACTGTTGGCTGCAGAAGCCTCTAGTTTGCTTTATGCTGATGCCATTGTAATGTCATGCTGTGTCTAAATGAATCTTAAGAGGCTACATCTCTAATCTGACCTGGCTGAATTTCCAGCACCACTAGCCATAAAACGAATGTTACCAGACGTTTTGACGTTTTGCTGGCTGTCGGTTGATGGTCTGTCAGAATCTTTCTCTCAAAGCCAAGACAAGTGTAATGTATGTTGTGCAGGCTGGATTATGAATATGAATATGTGAGCATGTGAAATGAAGCGGTGTGCTGTATTAGCCTGTGAGTGTTGAGTTTTTTTCAGCATCAGTCCTGCTCTCTCCCGCTGCGACGGCTCTGGCCTTTGCACTGCTTTCACTCCTTTGGCTCCATGTTTCTAATTATCCTCCGTGTGACTCACCCACAATGAGGTGTCAGTCTTTGACAAAGTGAGGCCTTTTCTCTTCACAGGGCAGAGGAGCAGCTTCACTGCAGTGGATTTATCAATGTTTGCTTGATAATGGAGTGTGTGGTCTGATGAGTTTTCCGCAACGCTGAGATTTATTCATCAAGATAATGCCTTCATGAGTTATATTCAGTACCGAGACTTCAGCTAACACACATGGAGAGCAAGAAAGAAGCTTATGGAAAGTTGAAGGTATTTAATAGAACCAGTTTGTGGAAATGCAGCAGTTGTAAGATTCAAAAAGTTTCAAACCCTTGAATTTCCTGGATGATCCACGACTGTTTTTATATTTTGTGATAGTTGTGAGTCTCTTGTTGGTCCTTAGCAGTTCAATCGCCTGCTGTTCTTCAGAAAAATCCTCCAGCTCCTGCACATTCTTTGGTTTTCCAGCATCTTCCGCATATTTGAACCCTTTCCAAAAGTGACTATGATTTTGAGATCCACATTTTCACACTGAGGACAACTGAGGGACTCATACACAGCTATTTCAAAAAGTGAAAACATTTACTGATGCTCAAGAAGGCAACACAATGTATTAAGAGCCGGGGGTGTAAACTTTTGAACAGGATGATGATGTGTAAATTCTTCTCATTTTGTTTAACGTTCATATTTTTTCATTTAGTATTGGACTTCAGAAGCTACATAAATACTTACATGTTTCCCAGAAGACAAAATAAGTACAATTTACCCTGATCATCCAATTAAAAAAGTTTACACCCCCCGTCTCTTAATTCATTGTGTGGCCTTCTTGAGCATCAGTACATGTTTTCACCTTTTCTAATAGTTATGCATGAGTGCAAACATAGAAGCATTTAGGTAGATCGGGGGCGCTTTCCCTTCAAAAACAAATGTAATCCACTGCGTCTTCAGCGGCTCAGATGTTGGGAGTAAATGACGACTGCTATGTTCATTATTACATCCAACAACAAAACACCTCAGTCGCTGAGGAGACAATCTTGTCTACCCCGGTCTGGCATCGAAACAATGGCGGACTGTTTCCAGCTCACTCAGGGTGGGCCTACATTATAAAACGGCCGCGTCAGTCAATAGTCATGGGAGGGGCCTGTGCAGAACTACGTCACTCTGCCAAGAATCTCAGAACAGCCTGATCTGAGAAAGTGATCAAAAAAGCACTGGGTGGATTTTTGTCATTATAGGGTGGATGTGTACACACTGCCAACACACATTTATGTTCATTTACCATGTAAAAGTGAATTTTGCATCTGATGACCCCTTTAAAGCTAAAGGTTATTGATTTTCTCTTTTTTTTCTTTTGTTCTTTGATTAACAGACATCACAGCTAGCTGGTTATTAGGTTATTTGGCTGCTATTACTTTAAGAGCTGCTGCTGCTGAATGTGACGCAGCTCTGACACGCATGCTTGTAGTTTCATTTGCGCTTTATATGAAATGATACAGGCTACAGTATAACGGCTGACAGAACAGGAAAATTTGTTTTTACTGACATGGCCTGACAACATCTCATCTGACTGCAGTTCAATGTTGTTCTACTGAAGCTCCTCGTCCCCTGAAGCTTTTCCGCACTTGTTTGACTGACACCTGGTGCTGAGGCAAAGTGGAGTGCGTATCTGAAAAGTCTCCTGTTTGATGTGGTCATAAAGATGTTCTGCGTCTAAATAAACGCAATTCTTGTCAAGAAAAAAGAGACAGAAGCAGCATATGTGAGTGGGGTGGCCAACCCTAGCTCCGCCCCTGTGTTAACTGAGTTAAATATTTTTAACGCCATTAAACTGGAAAAATTATTTGCCTGCGTTATAGGGATGTAACGATTAACCGCGAGCCGGTTGAAAATCGATTTAAATATGTGACGATTCAAATCGGTTGAGATGCTAAACAAATCGCGATTCAGTTAGGGGTAGGAGTTTATATGAATGTATGTCTGAGGGAAACTTGCTGTCATTCGATGGTATTTTTTCTTTTCCTCTTGCCTCTGTATAATGCATATCAGGGCTCCAGACTCATTCTTCCCACTGGTCGCTCTTTTGCAACTAACTTTCTCAGCTGGTCGCAGGAGCACATGATTTGGTCGCAATATATATATATATATATATTTTTTTTTTTTTTTGCGCACAACATGGGATTATTCAATGCATGCTGATGAACTTTTATCATAGTTTATAGTTATATGGAAACGAAAGTTGTTAACATTCAACCCATTCTTTATCATCAGTAGTATTATTTGTGATTTTAATTTTGTGAATGGGAGTTTCTCTTTTGCTGTGTTAAGCCGCGTGCATCGGATGCTTTCACTTTCGAATTCGCGATCTTGTTGTCACTGTTTTGCTTACATACATCTACACACCTTTCATTTTTTTAAGACTAAAACAAAAGATGGATTCATTGTTATTCTTAATCAAAAAGCACAACAACAATAAATCAGTAAGAAATACAATGAGAAATTAGCTTACAAAATGTTTATTAACAAACACGAATAAGATGAGGCATGGCACACACCACATGCTGTATTATATACTGACTAATAAATTACAGAACGTTTAGCAAACACTGAGGAATCAAAAATAGAAATAAATAAATAAAAGAGAGCCTCCATAGCTTAAGGTAAACAGCAAAGATAAGTTTTTCAAAAATGAAAACAAAAAGAAAAGTAAAACTAACGGTTTACAAAATGTTTATTAACAAACACGAATAAGATGAGGCATGGCACACACCACATGCTGCATTCTAATAAATTACAGAACGTTTAGCAAACACTGAGGGATCAAATAAATAAATAAATAAAAGAGAGCCTCCATAGCTAGGTAAACAGCAAAGATACGTTTTTCAAAAATGAATACAAAAAGAAAAGTAAAACTAACGGTGACAGTGCTTGCATGCTAACGGTGACAGTGCTTGCAAGCGACTTAAGACTGGTTTTGTGCTCCAGGGTCACATATGACGTTAAAGAAACCCAAACTCACAGCAGATGCTGAGATGGAGTTTGTGTGGAACAGAGCTGCTCTAAGATGCTGTAAACACTGGCTGATAATGAACTATTCATGTGTAAAAACACAGTGCCACGCTTCATTCTGAAACACACAGCCCATGTATTTAATTCAATTACAGCCTTTGCGATTCAATAATTGCACTGAGCCACGTTTTTGGTTTTATTTCGATTAATTGTGCAACCATAGGATGGGCTGCTGTCATGGTGTTTTTGTACTTGATTATTGAGATGTATGATTGTTTAACAACCAAGAAATATGAAGCTATTTTACAGAAACACATTCCCCACATGATGTTCCCATATTCCAGCATGGTAATGCTCCCATATAGACTGCTAAACAAATCTAACAGACTCCATGACCTTGCCAGTCATCAGATCTACACATCATTGAGTCTCTCTGGGACGTTCCAGAGCGCTGAATGCAAATGAGATTTCCACCTTCTTCATACCTCAAACAACTGGAGGCTTTTCCTCTTGAAGAATGAAGGCATATCCTAATGCATACCATGACAGCATTTCAAAAAAGAATTGAAGCTGCTCTGCAAAGTGTCTCTGCTTCTTATTAAATGTTGTTAGTTCTTATTACCCTTTTTTATTAGATTTTTTTCTTACTTCAATGACAAACCCCTGAAGGGAATCGGCACTGCAGTCCTTTCGAGGCAGTTAAAAACCCTTTTGAGTGCGGTTTTGCATGAGTTTAAATGGTTTATTGAAATGTCAAGCCTGACTTTCTTACTCCGATTAGTTCTAATTCTATTAGTTCTATTCTATTCTACTAATAATGATATATTTTGTAACTGAGAGACAACATGAAATATGTGTACTTTACTCACCCTCATGTCGTTCCAAACCTGTATGACTTTCTTCCTTCTGCTGAACACAATATTTGAAGATTTTTGATAACCCAACAATACTGGAGTCCATTGACTTCTATTGTGAGGAGGGAAAAAAATGAGGCATTTCTCAAAATAATCCTGTTTTGTGTTCAGATAAAAAGTCATTTAGGTTGAAAAAGACATGAGGGTGAGTAAATGATGACAGAATTTCCATTTTTGGGTGAACTCAAAATGTGAACTGGTGATCAGCTACAACACAAAACATACACTTTTCTTTATATTACACTTTCCTAAATAATTTAGATCTAAATCTAAAATCTGGGTACACATGTGTAAATTACAAATAAGAGCATTTATTAAGAGCATTGGTTTGATGATGTCTTGATTGTTAAGTGTTTGAGTTTGACTTGAGCGATCGACCTGTATTTAGCCTGCACTGTTTGACACTGTAAAATGGAAGCTGAAATCTTCTAGAGCTGCAGCAGTGATGGCACAACACTCGTCTCACATTTCAGTGTGGCTTTTCTCTCTCCATCAGGTGTTAGGTGGATCAGGGCATCTGTACATGTGCTTCACGTCCTGCCACTACTGCCCATGCCCTGCCTTCTCCTTCTCTGTGCTCCGGAGAAACGAGAGTCTGATGGTGAGGTCACTTCCTCTTTCTGTTCATACACACTCGCACAGCTGCACTCACAAACCCCGAGACCCTCATCCTGTTTCGTTGTTTGTAGAATTATTTCTGTCAATATGCGTTTACACACTGTGGGTCGAAGGTTTGGAATAATTAAGATTTTGAATGTTTTTGAAAGAAGTCTCTCATGCTCACCAAAGCTGCATTTATTTGATACAGTAATATTGTTAAATATTAGTACAGTTTAACATAACTATTCCGTTTTTTATTGATATCAATTTTGAAAACAATTTTGTTGTTCTGCTTTATAGTTTTGTGGAATCTACCAAATTTTAAAATGTTGGCAGAAAGTAAGATTTTTAAAAAGAAAAAAGAAACTAATACTTTTATTAAGCAAGTATGCATTAAATTTAGTTGGATTTTGTTTTAAATAAATGCTTTTCTTTTTAACTTTCTATTCATCAAAGGATCCTGAAAAAAAGTATTACTTTGCAGAAACATATGAAAGAGTTAACCTGCTGAACAGGATGCTTCAGCTGTTTTCAACGTTGATAATAAGAAATGTTTCTCGAGCACCAGTTCAGCATATGGTTTCTGAATAATGATGTGTCACTGAGGACTGGAGTAATGGCAGCTAACAATTCTGCTTTATCATCACAGGAATAAATGATATTTTAATATATATATATATATACACACACAGTGGGTACGGAAAGTATTCAGACCCCCTTAAATTTTTCACTCTTTTAGAAAACATTTTAAATGTTTTATTAAGTATAAGTATTTTAAATAGTAATATTTCAAAAATATTTGTGTTTACTGTATTTTTGATCAAATAAATACAGCCTATTTATTAACACAACAAACTTCTTGCAAAAAACATTACAAAAATCTTAATTATTCCAAACTTTTTACCCCCTGTTTGTGTGTCCGTGTCTATATATAGTCTGCATTTTTGTCTTATTTTCTGCATTTCTCGGTTGCTTGCTTGTATGGCTGACATCAAACCATAAGCAATAACGTTTACACAAATTGATGCTGAATAGTTGACAATATTACCAATTAGTTGACCACATTATTTGATGTGCAAAATTGACTAACTACTTATTGAAAACCGTTTTTGTTGCAGCAACACCACTTTTTTTTTTTTGCCTGCTTTTGTTTTAAATATCTTCCTTTGCTCTCTTCTTCATCTGCCTGTTGCTGTGGTTATTTCTAGCGATTTTATTTGTTTTCTGGTCTCCATTGACGGTGTGGCCCCGTTTCAACAGTATCTGTTGCCGCATAGTTGCATGTGCATCAGCCTGGTTTTGAGCCCAGGGGAGCGAATGAGACTAAAATTAGTCCTTAAGTCTGAGAAAGAAAATCCAGAGACAACCCCAAAATGCACTGCTTCACTCTGATAGCATGACCTCACTTTATTATCGAACTGCAACAAAATATAAATGCGTTTTATGCCCATGTGATCTGAGAGGAATGGTTTCCTTGTTTATTTATAGTCCTCTGTGTAATGCATTAGTGTTTGCTTGATGCGCCAGAAAATGTCTCAAATGTGATTAAGCTGCCCTGCTCTCAGAACATGACGTGAGATTCTCATCAGACACGAGTTGTTGGGTTGGTGGTCTCTGTATCGAGGGTCTGGGGTGCACTCAAGCCTGTAGTAGACCAACAATTAATGGAGAATGTGAATAATAAAGCAAATGCAGTCTGTTCTTCATAGGCGGTTTCATTGTCAGTCTTCTCGTGTTGGGCGACACTAATATTCTCCTTCATTGTAATCCTGTTTATATTTCCGTTACGTGATGAATGTCTAGCCATAGTGAATGTGCATCCCGCTGATGCATTTTTCATGTGTGCAGTCACCATAAATTGAAAACAGATGGCTGCATTGAGCAGTTTTATCATTACACAATAAATAGTAGTGTGAAACATATCTGACCCTGAGTCTATACTGTATCTCTCTCTCTCTATATATATATATATATATATATATATATATATATATATAACCCCAAACTGGTGTGAGAATAGCTGTTATATAATGTTTATTTCAGTCAAATCAAAGCTGTTTTTAGCATGCTTAAGCATCATTTTATTGAGCTGTTTTGCGTATCTGTGTTCTCTAGTGTAAGCACCTCCTGGCTGCCTGTCTGAGTCAGGCCATGGGTTTGTGCCAGCAGGAGCAGGTCTCAGATCAGCAGATGACCCATATTCTCTCAGGGCAAACTGAGGCCAGCACATAAATAACTGATCCTGGAGTAGAGTGAGACTCTGATAAGAACCCCCATTCAGATATTTAGAGTCATTATGGATTAGAATGGACTCGTCTTTTCGAAGTTGTTGTTGCACTTAAATGATTATTTTTTTTTTTTAAATGAGGGATGATCTGTCGTAGAATGTTAAAAATTGCTTTGAAAGTAAATAAACAAGCAAAGCTATGACCCTCAATATGATGTTTGTGTATGTTTGTATATATTCTTGCAAACTATTTTATCAGTTGCCAGAGAATGTACATCTGTTCACTGAGCGTGATGGCGTTTATTTTTGGAGTTTCCGTTTGTTTGAAGGTTCGGTACTCTAGACTGAATCTCATCAACAAACAATCAAACCACATGGTTTAAATACTGTGCTTTTGGGTTTTGCGTTCATAAAATAGTTGTGAACTATTTATTAAACATTCAGGTAGCTAGATTTTAATCATGCATTCTAAAAAGAAAAATGAACTTTATATTTAATGACAACTACATTACATACTAAAAGAGGACTGTTGTTTTTATGTAAGCAATGAGGTACGAGAGACCGTGCTGTGCTGTGCTGTGCTGCTTCGCTTCACGTCGTGCCTAACAACTCCCTTCAGCCGTGATTCACAACACAGCACGGCCTCTCCTACCTTATTGCTTTTATAAAATGGTAACCGCACAATAAAAAAAAAAAATATATTAAAACCAAAAATGTATGTATTGATATATTACTATTTTGAAGTATTTTTTTTTTTATGTTAAATGCTGTCCTTCCGCTAAAAAATAGTTCCTGACAGCAACAGTAACATGCCTCATCTTATGGAACTCAAATAAAAACAGTTGTTTGTTTTTTTACAACGTATATGATATTTTCTCACACACATACACATGGGCCAGAGTTGAGAACCCCTGCACTATATTATTGAGTGTTTATGTTGCTAAAGGTGGTTGCTAAGGGTGTTGCACACTGGCTGAAGCAGTCATAGCCGTGCTTTATCGTGAATAAAACACAGCTGATATATACGTGTGTGTGTGTTTGTGTGTGGATAGATAAGTCCAGAAAGTATTTCTACATATAACCACTCCTAATGAGTAATTATTTCTATACTGGCAAGCAGAACATGTGCAAAACATGACATTTTGTTTTTGCACATAAATTGCACATTTCTTTTGCACATTTATAATTTTTTTAAAGGGGTCCTATTATGTTTTTTCACTTTTTCAACTTTAGTTAGTCTGTAATGTTGCTGTTTGAGCATAAAAAAGATCTGCAAAGTTACAAAGCTCAAAGTCCACTTCAAAAGGGGATATTTTATTGAACGGAAATCACTTTTCAAAAACTACAAGGAACGACTCGTTTGGACTACAACGCATATTTTCCGGGATTTGTGATATCACAAATACAGACGAATGGGACGAGACCTGCTTGAGCTGCACTAGAGAAGGCGACGAATGTTATCACTATGTCGGAGACTCGCTAGCTTTCCCAAGGCAGACTAACTTAGAGTGGTTACAATCATCCGGGTAGCTAGCCAATCACAGCACATTTCGTATTTCAGAAGGCGGGCTTTCATTTGATACAGGAACTATTCGAGCCGTTCATGCCAGACTGAGGAGAGAGGTGTTGTAATAATGTAAAATATGTGAAAATAATGTGTTTTTTGAACAACCTAGTATGAGAGCCTGTTCTAGTACACCCACGAAACAAAATCAAGACTTTGTAAAAGAGCATAATAGGACCTCTTTAAATGATTTCTTTCTGTTATTTTATTTTATCTTTAGTTTTTCACTTACACGTTATGTAGCAACAATACTGTATGAGATGTTAAATGTTTATCATCATATGATTCAAATCACTTATTTTGTGTTTATGTATTATTTACTATTACTATTTTGCATCCTTATCCTTTTCCCGACCTTAACATCCTAATGAGGACTCTATATATATTTGTGTAACAATATTTACAAGGGATCTTTATTTATTGAAAAGTTAAAGGAAGAGGTATTGCTTATATGAAATATTAAAAATTAAACGAGAAAGAACACAAAGCAGTAGATACATAAATATATCATGTGAGATGTATGTACATGTAATGATGTATCTTGCCGTGTCACTCATCCTATGCTGATATGTCAGTTGCTGAGTGCCTATACACACCTCATCTGTCGTCCTATTAGATTTCACTTCCACCATGGCAATGGAAAATAGAAACCTACATTGCTTCGTGCATCGAGTCTACAACCTGACTAGTGCTTGACAATGACGCTGGTTCCATTTCCTGCCTGTATACATTACATACAGACAAACATTTCATAGTGTATATGATTCTGCACATTGATGGCTAGCAGAACTACTACTTTCAAAATGTACACTCTAAAAAATGCTGGGTTGTTTCAACCCAACTTTGGGTCAAATATGGACCTAAGTATCAGTTTCTTGTGGGTTTTTTTCAGTGTGTTTAAAGGTGTGAGAATGTGGTATTTAATAATGAGATTATTAGTGTTTATCATTTAGGGAACTGGAATATGGTAACCGCCAAATGAATGAACACAATATATCAGCTAGGCTAGATTCTTGGACTTTGTGGCTTTGGCTCTTAGAAAAGTTTTTTTTTTTCTTTTTTTATTTTGAACAAAGGCTGCACATGCAGTTTCTCACAACACACACACATCCAGACACACTTTACACTGAATAAACGACAGCTGAGCTGAGCTAAAACTGAAAGAAGGCACAAAAGATATATAAACAGCTTTTATTAATAAAATAATTCAACATACATAGAGATTTATTCATGTTAAATAACAAGACTCCATTTTGATGCTAAAGGTTTTTGTCGCAAAACTATTTTTTTTTTTAACACGTACAAGAGAACATCACAGTGTATGTAGATTAGTGACAAATACACACATAAACATCCACATTTAAAAGCACTGACACTTTTCTGTTTGCTCCAAAGGCAGGAATAAAATTCAGGTACACTTGACTGGTTAAAAAAAGGCCTTTAGTTTTACTGCTTTCACCAGACAGTACTTCATGGAATAAAACACAGTTGCAGTGCAGTACAGATTCGTCTCCATTGGAATGTCCAAGATGTGTGGCACACTCCTGTAGTTTAGCCCTTACAAAGTGTAACAAATAGTTGTACATTTACATCATTTAGAGACTACAAAACACAAAAATACTGATAAAGAATGTCTTTCTTCCCCTCAATAAATAGAAACTGTTGGCACAGCTGCAGTTGGGGAAGGCATGTCATTGTCAGGGGCAAACACATCAGTGCATCTGTCAGAAACCAGAGCTGATGAAATCCACACACTGTCCTAAACAACTGTTTCCAGTAATAAGTCATTTTTCTGTTCATACCGAAAGCAAATAAAGAATGTGACAATCACAGTCGTGATTGATGATTGTTAAAGGAGTAGCTCACCTAAAAATGAAATGTGTGTCATCTCACCCTCAAGTTGTTTCAAACCTGTAAGATTCTTTCTTCTTTGGTTGAACACAAAACAAGATATTTAGAAGAATTTTGGTAACCAAAAGTTGACGGTAGCCACGGTCTTGCATAGTATGGAAAACAATACTATAGAAGTCAATGGCTACAGTCACCTTTTTGGTTACCAACATGGACAAAAAAATTTCGTACAGGTTTGTAACAAATTTAGGTAAATGTAATTAAATAGGTTTAAGTAAATGATGACAGTTTTCATTTTTGCATGAACTATCCCTTTGATATACAGCTATAGTATGTGGGATTTTGGACCAATCAACTTTCAGAAATAGAAATCAGTTGACAAAATATCTGCCAATCATCACAGTTTTACTTAGGGTGACTCTTTTTTCCAGATGTGCCCTGGCCGGAGTTTCTGAATTGCCTAAAATATCCAGGTTTTGGCTTTATACTTGCTGAAAGTAATGACCAATAGCGTGCAGGCATTGTACATAATCAACCAATGATGGCGTGTGTGAAGGAGGGATCTACAAAAAAACAAAAAACAGTCAAAGCACTGCAAATACGTATGCATATAATGTATGTGAGGACTGTAGAGAGCATGTCAATAAGAAAACAAAGTCAAAACCTGGATATTTTAGGCAATTTAGAAATCCCAGCCAAGACATGTCCCGGAAAAAGAGCATATATGGTGATCCTAGATTTACTGCTTGCTGCTTTTTCGCATTTCACCTGGACACAGTTGCAATTCACTCCCCAAAAACAAAAAACATAATTGTACATTCCCTTGATTTCAAAATAACTTCTAAATGTGGGCTTATTAACTTATGATCATGTTAGACCATCATCACTATGTGTCCTTATTTTTACAATGCTGCAGATAGCAAATAAACCAATAGATACATTTACATGCACCCAAATAATCTGTTTATAATGGCTCAGTCAGACTGAAAAGTGTTCATGTAAACGCCTCAGTTGATCTGAATGAGCTCGATCCAAATGAAATTTCCATCCAACTGAATAGAGTGGTGTAGATCTAAAATCAAAAGGAAAATCACTGCGGCGCAGTGTCATGATGTGTATGTTTACATGCAGTTTACATCTTATGAATATGCTTATGTTTCTTGTCTTACAAACTGCTAAAACAAAGTATCACTGGTGTCTTCGGTTCTGAACAGAACACTGATCGCTGTGCATGCGCTGATGTTTTGTGTGGAGTACATGTAATGCACATGTAAACAAATGTCAATCATATTGCAGCTTTTAGGTTTTATATAAATAGCGCTTTCAGAATCTTAAATCGGATTGCATTCATTCCCATTTACAAAAATCAGTGCATGTAAATATACCTAGTGAGTTTTTACATCTAAAACAGTCATGACTATCAAAAATCAGCTTATTATAGAACATAACAATTGATGCCAAAACAATCAGATATGAACAAAAAGACAGTAAATATTCAAATAAACCATCCAAACATCAATAAAATTTGTTGTTGTTTATATATATATATATATATATATAGAAACAAATCGAAAAAAGTGCAAAAAATGTTTGATGTTGCTTTAAAGAACAGTGTAAGGCACTGACATGACCAAAACTTGGTCAGATTATATAATATAACCTGACATAAAAAATGAGTGTAAGATGTAAATACACTCAGTGTTCATGAAAGATCAGGATCTCTTCAGATGATACACTAAATATAGCTTTATTTTTCCTTTTGAACTGGACAAGCATATAATGGAGAGAAAAACTA